TCAGTCTTTCTAAACTTCGCTGACAGCCATCATATTGAAAAAGTCGATTAACAATTTGTTTCATATCGAAAATTTCGTTTTATAATTCTGCAAAGATTATATACTTTCCTTCAAAATTTTGGATTATACTTCACTCCAGCGATCATTATCCAAGTTGTGCACACTTTTAAGAAGTCTTTCGATATCTATAGTCATACATAGTAATACAGAATAATTAAGGTAAATATGATCATTATTATCTGGGTAAAAAGGTTAAAGCATGATCAAGATTTGTGAGGTAATACTTCATAAAAATGGCCTTGATCCATCCGATAACAATTTATGAAAATGGCCTGGAGTTAATTTATTAGAAGTGCTTCACATGCTTCAGTATCGATAACGTCTTCATTAATCGGCAATATTGGTATCGCTCCTGCATCAGTCAGTTAATCTTCATGAATCATTCATGGATTGCTCATGAAAGAAGAATTTGGCTACAGCAACAACGGTAAATGATAAGTTACCAAGACTCAATATCGAGGTCATAAATTATCTTAAAACGCGATTAAATGCATCTGATATGAGAAATTTGACTGCGCTAATAGCTTGTCCTCTTCCAATGCGATCAGCATGTTGTTATCTCATCCTTACCGGGCACTCGAGTTTATCTATTTCTATTGGTGCCTAAACATAAGAATTTGTCTGTACTAAATAGAACCAATGATATTCCTACCATAATATCAGAATATTCTAGCACCGCGTTTAAGGAGAATACTTTTCAAGACCATTGAAAGGCTATCGAAGGCGCGGGTGCTGCTGAAGGTGTTGAAGGATAGTCCGTAATGACATGGCGGCGAGGAGGTAATGAGAGTTACGTACAGTCTTATTACGCCTGCCTAACTTTGACACGGATACACCTATACAGGACCTCCAAGTCCAAACCCACAGCCCACTTTTTTGATCCTAAAGATTAGTTGAAAACATTTATTTTATTCCATCGATGATCGGCTTGATTCAAGAAAATCATGCACGCTGATGACAAAAAGTACATTGATAGGATAGCGCTTGTTATGCATGAACATAATTCAAAGAGTTCGAGGGGTAATTTCGAATGTAGATGACATGGTCGTTGTCATACGAGACGAAGAGCACTTGATGAAACTTCGCCGAGCTTTAGAACAGGATACAGTCTTAAAGTTTGCCCATTAAATTGGATAAAACCAAAAACTGCCGTTCCTCGATAGTGCAAATTGAAGATAATTTCTTTGTCTCTAATGTTTACCGAAAACATACCGATATCTTTAAGTGCTAAACGAAGAAAGTGAATGCCCTCAACGCTATAAAACCAGCACTGTGCGCGCTCTCATACAAAGGGCATTCAAGACCTGCACATCAGAGAGTGATTTGAAAACGGAACTCGGAACTTGTAAACAAATCCTAATAAATAATGGGTTTTCAAATAGAGCAGTCGACACTGAAATATCAAATTATCGATCTAGAAATGACCTAACCAGCAATGCAGTAATATCTAATGGAAACGTCACAACAATCTTACATCAAAACCAGATGAACAGAGGCAACAAAGTAGATGAACGAGTCCTACAGTAAATCACCCATAATAATATCAAGAGCGGATAACGGAAAAATAAAACCTTGTCATGAATAATAATCCCCGTAAACAATCTGGACTGCTTCAAGAAACTAATGTTGTTTATAAATTCTCATGTAATAAAGAAGGTTGTAGACTTCTTCAAAATATGAACTACATTGGTCTAACAAGCACGACCTTAAGTCGCCGACTCTCATGCCACCTACAATCTGGAGGACCTAAGAACCACATGCGGGAGGCTCACAATGAGACCATCACCCGAGCGACATTGGAGGCCTGCACCAGCATAGTTATGTGCATGGTGCCCTGAACCATCGAGACTGGCGATAGCTGAGGCCCTCATTATCAAGAGCGAGTCTCCAGGTATCAACCTCCAAACTGCAGGATTCGTATAAACGATGAAATTATTTTCAGAGTAATTTTAAGCTAATATTTTAAATTGTATCCAGTATACCATTGATTTGTACTACCGTCATTTCCAAAGTTCGATTTCAAGTGTTGCAAAACCTTCACCTACTTGATAATAAAAATTGTATTGTCGAAACGTCGCATTTCATTAAAATGTCATTTGGTAATCTGTTTTTACAACACTTCTCTTTAACTTCACTTCTTGTCTGTTTGTTTGTCTGTCTGTCTGTCTGCTACAAATCTTGTAATCGAAATTTAATACACTTCTACTCATCCTATCGATCTGAAATTTTGCTCACTTGTGTAAAGTTGGAGACAATGCATGAATCAAATGTCAAAATAAATGATTTTAAAAATTGGAAAAAATTTCTTTCAATATTAATTAAAAAAATAATTTTGTCAGCTACAAATCTTATAACTGATATTTGACACACTTTTACCTGTCTAATTGATCTGAAATTTTGCACACTTGTGTGAAGTCAGAGGCAATGCATGAATCAATTAACAGAATAAATAATTTTGAAAAAAATTATATAGTAAAAAAATTTATATATTAAAAAATTGAAAAATTAATTTTTTTAATTTTCGAAAATTAGATGAGAAATTCATTGTACATCTGTAAGATTGGAGACACTGAATTCGTTGGAAGTGTTGTCTTTAAAAAAGAATTTTTAAACGTATATTATTTGATCTTCCGCCTCCAGCAAGAAATTTTGTTTGACTCATTGAAAAAACGAATAAGAAGATTATTAATAAAAAGCATGCTCTGGTCTTTAATCAAACTTGCATGAAGAAAAGCTTCTGCCGAATTACTCCAATAAGAGAAATATGTATAAATTCCCAAGAGACCGAGTCATGGGAAGACGCGCGAGTATAGAAGCCCGCACTGCAGAGGATGCAATAAAGGAAATAATGAGGGATGGAAGTGCAGACTTTCCTGTCTGAATCTTGGCGTTAAGCAGATCTTGGAGCAAAGTTAAGTGTGCAGGCGCTGAGTAATAGTGCAGTAGTAGCGGCACGCATCACGACCCCGACATTGTGGTAAGTTGCCTAACAAAGGATAACGCTGCCGGCGTCCATTAGTGGGGAAATTCCGAGAGTAAATCCAAGCAAGTAAAGGAATTAAAATAGCTCAATTCGCGTGGTTGTTTGAATTAGATAGCTACTTGGCTATTGTGCGGACCCGTCTTTAATGGGTTTTAATAAATGGCTGCGTCCACATGCACCGGGAGGAAGCAAGCGTTTGCTAATTCGTGGTCAGGTTCTATGACGGAGATCGAGCAATGGATGCTGCGTGCAAACAACAGATAACCTGGTCACTTTTTTCTTCAGTTATTTTTATTTTTTTTTTTCAAATGCCTACGAAATGCATTGCTGCATTATCTTGAAAATCTAGGGTTTGATGCACTACATTTTTAAACATTTTGCATTTGAGTGAATTTTTTAAGCAGATCTGTGACTGAAAAATCGGAAAGCAAACCATATTTCAAGAACAGTCTATAAATTTAAGTTTCTGTATAATATTTAATGTTCAGTATTTTTATTGCTTTATTATGATCATCAGAACAAAGTAATAAATTAATATATATATAATCTCGTATATGTAAGTATTTTAGACGGAGTTAGATGTACTGGAAATTCCAGCAAGAATAGGAGAACATTTAGGCAGGGTTCTTTGCAACTGATACATAGGCAGAAAATGCACAATTAAGCGGAGAGATTAAATTGGCACGTCATTTCTAAAGACACAATAAGGCCGTACTGCTATAATCACTTAAAAAGTATTTCGAAGAAAAAAGCTGATGAAGATGTCAAACGTAAACGGTATATATATAATTCAGAGTCTGAAAAACATGAATTTCAGTCACTCTTTAATTTTTATGTAGCATCAGATTTGCGCGGCAGCCATGACATAAAAAGTTGCCGAGTGATGGGTTCATTTTCTATAGATACTATTGACACCGCAGATTGACAGACACCGAAAATGTTCCACTTTGGCCTCCGTAATCACAATCTTCTCTGTGCTTATGAAGCTCAAAAAAGCGTCTCTATTTTACAGGCACGCTTCCATGCAAGCCTCACTGCAGGCTTGCGTCCTCGTTGCAGAGCACAAGCAAGCTACCTGCATGAATATTCCCGCTTCAGTTACGCTGTGCGTTTCCTTGAGACGTAAATTGCATCCTGCATTTTTCTTGCTATCAAGTTTGAAGAGCCTGGATACTTGACAAGACGTTTTTGTGAGACGACCCTCGGGCCAGAGGATGTTGTGGTCAGGCCCGGGACTCCGCTACTATCGGCGCGGAGCCCGGCTACCGGCTTCACAAGAACCACTGCCAAATAATAAACGACTTTGTAATGTAACGTGTACGTCGGATACCACCCTATCTGAGAATTTTAATTGCTCGAATTATTACGGAGGTTGGGTTTAGCAGTTCACGTCACTGAACAATTTGTGGTACTAATAATCAGAAAAACTGGCTTGTTAAACGGGCAGAATTTATTTCGTTTATTGGGTACTTCGTAGACTCTGTCATGTCTATATGCTATTTGGCCAATCTATATATCATGAGTTGAATTCTATTCATTATTATTATAGACACAGGAAATTAACGGTATAAGTTCCAAATTTCAAGGAAAATGAGGAGTAAATAGTCTTCTTTGTCAACTATTCAATTCATACAAAATTGCTCCGCCTACATGTCGTTAGCTGTGAGTTATTACTGGATAATATTATTTGGCAATAATACTCATGGTGTAGAGTAAGGCCACTCGTAGCATTCCGATATTACGCATTGGGTACAATGACAATGTCCCTCTGAAAGTAACTGCTCGGCCTGTTTCAGCCTAGGACCTCCCAATTCCTTGCGGCTGAAAGGAAGATCCCGCGCGCGAGGATTCTTAATGGTGCCGCGGTAGCTCTGGAAGGATAATCGAAGCTCCTCCCCCGCGCATCCAGCGTATAAGAAGCGCGTTACGCGACGCGGTTGCCAGTGCGCATCTGTGCTACGGAGTTGTGCAGAGGACTTGATCTATTGAGCTCCTCTCGCTTGCCTGTCAAACCTCAGCTTCTGAAATCTAGCAGGCAGAAAAAGTCGGTATAAATATTAAATAACTATACTTCAAATTCATGATCTTCTATTGTCCACACATGAAAAATTAAGAATTGCAACCAAAGAGTCTATCAAGTGGGAAAAGTGATGATAACCATTTCGTTATAACGACATTCAACGTTCAAGTTGAAGAAGATATTCCGAAGTCAACGAGTGATATTATATGACCTGGATCAAAATACAACTTTTATGTACAAGAATTTGCGAATCTTCGATCAACGAACGGTTCATGAACATTTGCTGCCGATGCTGTTGTGTGCATGTTTCATCGTTTATTCTCGTTTTGATTGAAAGTATCGAGTAAAAATATACCGACGAATACGATAAATAGAGGAATTCACGATGAGATCGGAGCTCATATTCCGGCAATTTGTGGACTCATTTCACGCCGCAGCGTCTGCTCGGCTCGGCTCTAGTGACATAAGTGAAGCCGGCCACAAACCCCCGGAAGTGTCATACCTTGAGCTGCAATCTCCGAGCATCGACTACTGCCTCGACTATCAAGATAGCAGTAAGCGCATTGATTTACGTGATTACATCGCTGGCTTGGACTTGCCGGAGAATTCGAGCCCGGTTCTCAGTCCCTCCGGATCTGTCAGTTCGGGTGACGACCACAGATTTTTTAATTCTTCGGAAGCCACATTAGAAGGATCAACATTGAGTTTCTCCGTAGAGGCAAGCGTTGGTCTCTTATCTTCCTCGCCCCAGTATTCCAGCAACTCTATTGACTTCTTGAGTAATTCTCCATCGACCACAAACATTGTAGAATACGAGAAAAAAAATCAAGATGTCGACAAATCTGAGAATGGCTCGTCATTAATTGAAATCAGGCCAAGTTCCTGCCCTCAGCCCTCAGTGGCAGACTGCAGAAGTTCGCCTAGCCTCAGCAGGTCGGCGTCCAGCGATCACGTGTCCCACAAAGTTGGACTCGTGGCGACCAGGAGTAACGTTTTTTCGTGCAGTCGGCGCCAGCGTCGGCGGTGCGAGGTCTCTGAAGCCGTCCGCCGCAAACGTCGACTGGCCGCCAACGCTCGGGAACGTCGTCGCATGGACAGCCTCAACTTGGCCTTCGATAGACTGCGGTCTGTCCTTCCCCAGCTGAACAACCAAGAGAAGCTCTCGAAATACGACTCGCTGCAGATGGCGCAAACATACATCGCGACGCTCTGTGAAATGCTCGTCTAGCTCTATGAATAGTAATTTCTAACGTATTCTTAAGGCTTTACTTTACATCTTTATTACAGATAGTTTATGTGCTGTAAATGTTGTATTTGCACTTGTTTAGTATTGCAAATGTGTGTGTGCAATTTTTGTACCCGTGATAAGCTCTCAAGACATTTCTCAGCGATTTGTTTCCCTAACTTGTAGAAGTTGGGCGACCAAATTAATAATATAAGAAAGTATTAGCTGTGTTCCGGGTATCCGCAATTAGCATTATCCTATGAGTTTACAGCGGTATATATCTGTTATTGTTATTATCACATCGAAGGAATAGATGTTCTAGATTAACACTTTGCTTAATATGCCATTCGATAAAGTTACCTGCTAACTCAAATAGATCATTATTAAATTCTATATATTCAATCATGCAGAAATGTTTGGCTTATAAAATATAACTAGCGGCAATCTTTCAAGCTCTAAAATATTATGCATTCAAGTAAAATCAGCCTTTTATTATAGGAGCGCAAGAACGTGTATACTTTGTTCTTTGAGATTCAAACAATTTAGCTCCGGCGATTTTGCTCAGCCATAGGAAAAGCCCGCGCAAGTTTTTCTTTCGTCTCACCCTGTTGTTTAAATCTTAGCAGAACTGATTTGTAAATAACGTTTCAAATTTGTGGTTGAAACTTGTAGATTTGGTCTAATATCTCTCGTGATTTTGAGAAATCTTAAATGTTATCCCTCATACCAACTGATGCGTGAGCTTTATCGATATTGCTCATTTTACTCCGTTAGAAGAGGTAAACTGTTTCCTGTAAGTTGTAAGTAAAGTGGATTTTGAGGACCAATATTGAAAGACTATACAATATTAGATCTCATAGGATATTACCTAGCAGTACCAGTTAATGTTTTGTATAAAGGGTAGCCAGATAAGCCTTAACTAAGATGCAGTTGTTGAATATTGATAAAATGTGCACAAGAAAACTCGACATGTATAGCTTGTAAGGTGACAATGAATAGAGAATAAAAGACATCGCTTATCATGTTCAGCATTCTTTTTATGAGCTGCTAATCATTTTAATCTCTGAAATCTTTATATTAAATATTTTTAATAATATTCAGACCAGCATAAATGACATCATGATAGTTCCGATAACTGAAGCAGAGTTAGGTTGTGCCTGCGATCCACAACGCGATAAACAAATGAAACAATAACAATCATTGATATAAATTTTCTTTGGATTAACTATCAATATATAAAAAATTGTGCAATGATTGTTATGTGCTTAGTGACGAGCGACTTACTTGACAGCTTGAAATTCCATTCAATAAGTTTATGATGCGAATATAACTGATTTGTAGTAGATATGAACGATATAAAATGTAATCATAGCTTAATACAGTTTAAATTTAATGAGATAATATCGCAAGGACAATATCGAGTGTCTTTTACATCGGGTGTGCAAACAACGCTAAATTAACCTGCTAATTAACAACCAAACTCCCGGGCAGCTCCCTATTAACCTGATAATTAATACACATCCAGCCAAACAACGTCCGGTTAACCTGCTACTTAACACACAACCTCCCTAGAAACGCACGGTTAACCTGTTAGTTAACACAGAACCTTGCTAACAACGCCGAGTTAACCTGCTACGTAACATTCAACAGTGCGAGTAACTCCTAACTTATAGGAGTTACTAACTAACCTAACTTAACCTAACCTGATAATTGACACACAGCCTCCCATGTGTCGCTCAGCTAACCAGCTGGCACTAGCATCATTTAACGTATTTCTTCGTCGTGTGGACTCATTTTCATTTTAATTTGGATAGTTTGTTTATCTTGCGATCTATTTTTTGGTAATAATCTTACTAATGTAAACACATGATGGCGCGTGTGCGCTACATGACAATAATTGTACAAATACAAGCTTGGTAATCTAGTCAGTATGTGGCATTTATTTTCGTTGCTAATAAATAAAGTTTCAGTACCTCATGTTTACTTTTATCTCTCCTTTTTCCTATTATATACGTGTCAGTTTCATTAAGATTATATACGTTTCTAATTGTTTATCTCAGCGATGAATTTTTGTACAAAAATTTAGTTCTTGTAAATCGGATTCGTGTTCATGTGCACTTTTAATAAAGTAATATCTGGATAACGAAAAAATCTTTCACCGAAAATTAATAATCCGCGCTAGTGACATTTACAACAAATTCCCTCATGAACAGTTGTACAGCTAGAGGCCTAATAGTTGGACAAAGGTATATTAAATTCCCCGTTTTAGTCGGACGCAGTTTCCCCCCATAACAGTTGGACAGAGGTATATTAATTCCCCCTATAATTGTTGAACAGAGGTATATCAATTCCCCCTATAATAGTTAGACAGAGGTATATTTTTAAACAGTGGTCTTTAGTCCTTTATTCACTTTAAACTATGAGCAGATAAGTTTTGCCACTTTTTGCCTTGTAATTTGTAAATTTGATTTTAACTTCTATTTTTTTTTTAATTTTGATTGAACTAAAAATAGATTGCATCTGTATTCTATAATTTTGAAACTGACGATAGAGCTAGGCTCAAAATTTTTATCCTGTATCTAATTTATACCTTTTAAACAGCCCGCTGTGCAAAATAAAATACCACAGAACTGAATTGAGAATTTTATTTATATCTATTCGAAATAGAAGTGGTTATTTCAATCAAAACCGCAAAAAAATTAAATTTGTTTGTAAAATATACTAAAACATGATATATACTATTTCCCAATAATTGTTCATATAAACACACGTTGCGGAAAACAAGCGGTCCTAATTAATGGCTGCAGAAAACAAGCGCTTAATTATGTTACTGATGCAGTTGCAGTTCCTATCACCAACGCTTGGAGAAACTACAATATAAACCGATCGTAAAATTTAATGAGTGATCACAACCGATTACTCATTATTTTGACAGCAATGTAAAATTTGAAACTGAGCCACTTATAAATTTTATTAGTGTAATTTCTGCAGGATTTACATGCCACCGCACGCGGAAGTTGCATGCATGGATCAGCCCGCCAGTGAAGTATTTGTAAGACGCTGCCGTCAGACGCCGTATCACAGATGGCGAGCGCCATGCATTGCATGGTAGCTTGCACCAGCTGTCGTTGTAGACAACACGAGCCACCCTGCGGCTATGACCATTTTTTCATTAATTCAATCTGGAAGTTTTTATTGCCCATCTGCATCGACTTCGCCGGTGATCCGAGATCGACAACCGGGGTCATGCATTTATTATTACAGCTTGACACTGACTATCTGTCGGGAATTAAAACTTGACACTTCCTATAGTCGCTGTGGATTAGTTTTCTTTGATTTTTTTTTGTGTTATTTGACTTGCATCAATTTGCCTTTTTGACTGTTGATAGTTCACTTTAAATTCAACTAATTGTTGAAGAAGGGCTTATTCTCAGCTGATGAATTTTATTTTTCTTCAACGTCCTTCGTAAATTTCAACGTCTTCAACGAAAAATTGTTGACGGTTAGCGAAGGATCAAACAGTGATTATTTAGAGCTGGAATCTACGAAAAATTCAATATTTATACAAAGTAATTACTGAAATAGGGTTCATTAAACACAACTCATCTCACGTTATCTAGTAAAATTCAAGCGAAAAGTCGGCGAAATAAGATCAATTATTCTTTCTCACTTTGACAAGCAATGACTTTATAGAATTTTTTATTTCACGGGATAATCGATATTGGGAGATAGTGGCTACAGGCAAGAGCTGTGTTTTGCTTGAAGCGGCCCAGCCAAACCTCCAATTTCATTCCTACATGAAAACCGCAACATCCGCTTGTTCGGACCAGCGTTTTGAGAGCTTGACATTCTTTTCCGTCAATGCCAAGAATGCAAGTAAACGCGCGAACAGAGAGGCGGCACGAAATGCTCCAATGCAAGCTTCATTATCTGCCTGAAGTAGAACTTAATTACATACAATGTTCGGTGATTAACTTCTGGAGGTGGTTAATGGCCCACGAAATAAGTGATTTGCTTGTTGTGAGACAAAAAACTTAAATTTTGATCAGTATTTTGTTGATGTTTCCGCTTTCGGGAAAATGGTGATGGCTTTCAGAATAAGAAGTTGTTTTCAGTAAGCGAAACTTCAGAAATTGAAAATACTGTCCTTGACTCGCCTGTTATTTTGTGATGTGGTTACGTTCGTTAAATTCCCCTTACATTTTTCGCGGGAACTGACGGCAAAGTAGAAGAGTGATTGAAGTAGTATTTCGAATACTGATTGGTGGAAAGCTCTTCTCCCTTATGAAGTAATTCAGGGATCTGAGTGGTTGTCAAATTGTAAGTATCAAAAAACTGATCGAGTTTCGAAAGAAACAAGCAGCTTGCTGCTCTAACCTGAAGCACATCTGCCTATGCTAAGCCTCAGTTCAGCCATCCAAGCAAATGACGTTGAAGCAACGTAGATTACTAGTCGATTGCGTTTAGTCAACATTTAATCTACATTATTTCGACGTATGATGCCTGGTGTGAGGCAGTTTGGCGTTCGTCTGTGGTGCAGGCGAGCTGGTGCCCACAGAGTGTCACCCCGTCAGCAGGCGGCTTAATTGGTCAGCTTAAGAGGCGGGGTCTGCGGACGCAATGAAGCGTGTGCTGTCACTAACGCTCAAGAAATAGAGACGGAAGAGCTTTTTGGATGACCGAAGAGCAGTCGCCGTGGGTGGGCCAAATAAAACTCCTGCATGGTGTCCCATAATAAGCGTGCCCGATAAGCGCACTCGAGCAGTAGACCTTAATAATTCTCCAGGCTCGGCTATAGAATGGCTCGTCTCATACCTGCACTCAGCCTGTCTCCGCTGGGTTCTTAACAAAGATTTTGGGGCTGCGATAAAATTAGCCTACAATGTGGTTAAGTTACTTCTCAGCTGCACTTGATAATTTACGAGCGCACAGTCCTGTCTGTATCTCGGTATTAACGTTGTAATTAATCGATGTTAGGTTACCAGCAGGAAACTTTACTGACAACCTCGCATCGCTAGCAGTATTGTAACCTATGTTAACCTCGTTCGAATTTTTTCCCACCCATAATCGTGTAACGGGAATTTTTAACCACATTAGGGAAAACGATTACTCTTGAGATTTGATGCATAGAGAACTTTAGAGCAATTCGCTGAAAACGTGTCCAATCGTTGAAAAAACTAATCCAAGTTTTGAAGCTTTCATTGTTTTATCGCGTTCAGTTTCGCTGCCAGTTATACATGTAGAAATTTAGCATGGTTTGCCTTATATCCTTACAGAGCCAGAATTTTTACGTTTGTACCTTTCCCTTTTCCTGCATGAAGTTCCTCCTAATTTGCATAAGCTAAAACTTCAATACACTTATCAACCTCAGACTGGCGTAAGGCTTCTATGCATAATTTCCCTTTCATGTAATGTCCTCCGCAATGAGTGTGTTCGCTTTCTGGAGAAATATTCCATACCTCACGCTGAGCTTCGGTCAAGTTGTCTGTCAGCATTACCATAATCTCATGATTTGACGCATAATCACAATATAGGGCGGCTAAATCTTCTGACTTCTCCTTCAAACTTTCCTTGAAAGTTTTTGTAATTTTGCTCGTCCAATTACTTGTCATTATGTCATAGTTATTGAGCAGATTTGGCTTTGGCAGATTTCTCTTGAATATTTCTTTGAAGATCTTTCACAAGAGTTAGAATGCTCGTTCGTGTTTAATAATTTGCTTTTTTTCTACTTCAGATGGCATCTCGAGCATTAGTATCTTACGCATTAATAATTTTAATTGGTTTGATCACCCGTGATGCAAATCACGTGGTAAAATGCACTCCAGTGCCGATTAGCACCACCAGCTCAAAGGAATACCTGCCACGGACGACTGGAAATGAAACACCAGTTACTGTCGAACGCGATACACCACTTGAAAAAGTTTCGTTTATTGAAAACCTTGCATCGTCTCTCAAAATTTTTGGGGGCATAGCAGTGGTGAACTCCAATACCAGCGCAAATTCAGAACCAGTTGTTGAAAGGAATAATACGTACTCTTCTAACGCCACCCACCCTAATCGGAGTGATGAAGTGTCGGGAAGTTTGCAAGAGGTGCAGGGTGAAAACTTGAGCAAGGCGCCAAGCGATGAATCAGAAGACAGTGGAATCAATTCTAGGAGCAGAATGGCGCAAATAAGTTCAACGATTCAACGTCATGAATCTGCTTTGGATCGAGATATTCGTCTGTATTTAGAGAAAACGTCTACTGCCCCCAAGGTTGAAGTAAAAATGTTAACAGCAAAAAATGACTACAGTGCAAATTCTAGCAATTTAAGTGCATCCACTAATGAAGCTAAGAATCATGTCGCCCAAAGCATAATGGGTTACATTATGGTTCAGCTTTTTGAATTCACTCGAATCGTACGACGATTATTTCAAAATTTTATCTCGTTAGCGTTTGCACCAAGTCACGTAACGGATTCCTTGTCAGCCAACATTTTAGAACAACTTAACATTCTTGAAGAAAATTTTCAAGAATTTTCCGACGTTGTTGCATTGAATGTTGCGGCAACCTGGCAAGCGTTCCTGAAGACGCAGCCTCAGAAAGTTAAGATTGAATCTCTTCGAAAAATCAAAACCCTCGTGAGAGAAATAAACTTGGGTCTTGATAGTCTCCACAGACGACTGACTCAACACTTGAGTCTAAACGATGCCGTATTCTACCTGCACCACAGCCTCACCGTGCTAAATAAAATAGCTGGTCCTTTCAACAATAAACTTTTTTCCAATATATTTTCTAGTCATGTTTGGGTATCTAACTTCATTTCCGGAAATATAGTGAATGAAATCTGTGAATCAAAAAACCACTGGGAAAAAAATTCATTGGAAATTACTGCAGGAGCTCTTAGGAATATTCTGTCTTCTTTTGGCAATTTTGTTGATGAATACTTACTGTACCTTAATCTTAACGCCATATTCTCGACAATAGACGCGGAAATGATTCGACAAGCGATAGATTTCAGTTGTTTTTACATAAATGAAGTGGCTGGAGTTGAACCAATTGGTATTAAAAATATTCTCAATAAAAATAATAGTTCAATGGTGCCATACTCGGAAGATGTTGAGACTTCTGGAGGAGACCGTTTGCTGGTCCGCAACCGAAGAATGCTGGGCGGGTGGGACGACCTGTTCGATATCAACGTTTTCACTGAACGCGTAAAAGAATTGCCTTTTATGCAGAAAGAATGGAACTTTGGTAAAATGCTCGAGTCCATGAAGAAATCCATGAATATTGCCTGGTTAGCTCTGGCAAGTGGGGACGCGAAGGTCCTGACCATTGCCTCCTTCGGTGACATTTTATCGCCAGCGCTCAACTCGGGCTCAGACCTTCATAAACAGTGCTCCGATTTGATAGGAAAACTGCAATTCTACAGAAGAAGGTTGTACTTGTTTGTTCTTGTTGTTTACTTGTGGCGCAATTTGACGTTGCGTGAGAATCATAGATCGAAGATTTGTGATTAGTTATGTCCCGCATAATATATTTGTCTATTTTCTTCGAAATAATCGCTGAAGCCTGATGATAATAATTACAATAAATGAATAGGAATAAATTTTGTATTTTAAATGAAAAATTAGAAAATTGTCATTTATAAGGGCAAAATCATTGTCAGAATTAATATCTTTGATATCAGTGTTACATATGATATAAAAAATAACATAAGGTCTAGGAAACCTTATGGAAATAAATGTTTTGACTGATGAATGTTAATAAATGAATGTTATGACTGATGTATGTTAATAAATGAATGTTATGACTGATGAATGTTAATAAATGAATGTTATGATGTCGGCAGCACGCTGAAGGACATGGAAGGACTGATGAGGATCCTACTGGAGCGAGCCACGGCGCTGAAGTGTTACGAGCTTGGTTCCTCAGACCCCATCCTGCGGCGGCTGCAGTTCCTCCTCAACATCCTCAAGACCAAAAGAAACGTCGTTGAAGATCCTGACGATCCTTTGAACATCGCCAAACGCCGCATGGAGGTCGCCATGCTTGATCCCTCACGTCGCAAACTTCACTGACAAGTTAACAGTTAAGGACGGGAATATCTATGCGGTAATCGCAATGTTTATCATGCCTTGATATTTTAATTTATCATGAAAGGTGTCATGTAAGAACAAATTTGCAATCACCATGAAACTCGAAATTGTCGCAAATATTTTGGAGTGACTATCTGAATGCCTGCCGCTGTTTTAAATTTGGGTTTCGCATTATAAATTCATTATGAAGTATTGGCTTTTCCTCTCGGCGAATTTTTATCTCAAAATATAATTCTTATCGTAAATGAAAATTTGTTTTTTAACTTCACGTGAATATTCGTATGTACATAAAATATCTAGAATTTTTAGCACGAATGAGCCAGATGGGGGGCACGAGCAAACTGTTAATAAACATTAGTAACATTTTCCCATCCTGGAATTTTACACAATTCTGCTTCTAAGAACAGATTAGAAATATCTGTTTTGACTTTTAGCCATCTTCGATATCTTGATGGCCATTACATTGGAATCATATTTTTAATCGGGGACGCTTCGCAAATTGCGCGTGAAAAACTTTACTTGTGATACAAATCTAGAAATGTAGAGTAAATGAAATCCCCAAGATAGTGAGAAAAATCCCAACTCTAATTAAACGTGTTTTCTTAAACTATCACGCAAATTCACGCTTAACCATACCCTGAATGCATGTAAACAAAAGAACAAAAATGTCCTCTACATTTTATGTTTATGACCATTTTATTTTCCCTAACACCCAGCACGCGTGTTCTACTCCGAATTCTCGAAAGCTTGAGCTATGTGTCAGTAGATCGAGCGACCGTGACATGTCCAAACGTCTTACACTTCATCCTTCTGGAGCCCGCGTTACCTCAACAGAGGTAACTGGCAAGGCGGTCAGGCATGTCTCACTTGGGTTCAGTTCTACAGATCTCCCACGTCTTAGTTTAAGTGCATCATTTGTAATTCTAAAAGCCATCGTACGACCGCTGCAGAGTGCTTGTCGCTCCTGCCACCGAATGAAGAGGGAGATTTTTTATTGTTCGTCGAAAAATGATCGTCTCTTTAAAATAAAAGATCTTGTGGTAAAAATTCTTTGACTGACTGCCCTACATTTCAAGTGTCTTGAAAAGTTTTATGAATTCCAAAGTGTCCTCTACAAGGTCGACTTCGAGTTATAGCGAGTTACGTATGTCACATATCAACTATGTAATATTCTTAACCTAACTTCATTCAAAACTTGGGCAGATTATTAGACTACGACTATTTGCTCTGAATTTCATAAAAGCAGCCTTTTTTCATTTCTAGGGATAAAGTACATTTGAACTTTGATTTTTTTTCTCCCCTAGAGCTGGATCATTTCCACCCATCGCTAAATTTAGTGCTTTTATTTTTAACCAAATTACATCACCATGATTTATTCCTAACGATAAAACCTATAATTTTCGAACCAGCCGTAGCCTGGCTTACAGTTCTGCTTCCTTCAATAATTCATCTCCATCGAGTTGGAAAGCATCGATAGAACGTTTTATCTTTGCTTGTCCTCTGTATTTGTATAAATGAAATGCCATCAGTGACATCGTGATGCGTGTCTTTGAGCGAAAACTCCTGCGACTGTTAGGTTAGGAACTTTTACTGGCATTGTGCATGTCAGTTGGGAATAAATTCTTCTAATAAATCTCTAACAAGCTCCTATTTGTGTTGAATGCATTTAATTATCAAGTTGCTTAGCCACGTAGAATAACAATAATTGAGTATTACCGGACTAGCAGGGAAAAAAATTTATGCAGACAGTAATCAATCAAGTTGATCAAGGAGTGGAGTAAAATGTGCTCGGTGTACAGATCTGTGCATTGCCCAAAGAATGTGGCAGAACGACACGCAAATGTCGCTGGGTAAGAACTTCACCTTACCGGTTTGTCTTTGTCTCAGGCGATAGAGTAAGTAAAGAGAGTTTTTGCTCGCGCAACCAGTATAGATAAGAACTCAAGCTCATGAGTGTACATTCTGCCAATGAGGACAATAAATTGAATTCTTTACTCAAGGAAGTGGAAGAGCGTCTATCACTTCAGAATATTTTTTTCAAGTGCAGGCGCTTGATGAGGCATCAAGTTTTGCTAAGCGCTCTAACCCTCGCATCTCTTGTTGATTATAAATTAAATCTATAATTCTTCGCTCCTCAGCAATTGTTCTGAATTGTGTGTTCAACACATTGACTCCGAAGTGGTACATATCTGTACTACAATGTGTATTTTTCCAGGAGGTAGTGGTACATAATTCAGAGTTGCCAGATAAACTAAAAAACGGCCGCCAAGTCCGCGAACAAAAAAGGCCTAAAAAGGCCTACAACTATATATAGTTGTATAAATATAGTTTCCGGTGTAAAAATTCAATTTTTTGCATTTAAAATTTAATTAGGTAGTACCCCTATCTTGAATTTTAGCCGGCTAAAATTCGGCTAAAAAAATTCCGCGATTAAAATTTTAGCCGGCTAAAAAAAACTAAATCGCGGAATTTATCCGGAAAAAAGGCCGTCTGGCAACCATGTTACATAACAGTACAAAAAATAAAATAATATTACAAGATGAAGCAGTCTGAGACAACGTGTTAAAGTAAATGATGAAATTCAAATACGGTTTGCCACTACTCCTATGAAAAGCAGCTTCTTATCGATCATGCATCACTGGAGCACTCTGCATCCATGCAGGACGTCGAAAACTGAGGTGCGCGGAAGCAGAGACGTTCTCAATCTTATCGCATGTTTTGATTGGAAAATTTCCAGATTTCCACAGAGCAGCTACTTTAAGATTAATTTGTGAGGAAACTCTCATATGTAACTGTTTTAAAACGGGGTGATAACATGTGGAATATATATAGTGAAATATATATGTGAAATATGTATACTGGCATGGCCAGAGCTGGAAAAAGAAGTATAATGAATGTTGGTCGTTGACAATAGATTTTTGTTCAATCATGGATCATCGCTTACAAGTTTGAAGTTCATCAAACATTTAAAACATGAAAAGTGAGCTATTTACCTTCACCGAAGTACAGAAAGGAATCCCAATAATAATTTTGAGTAAAAAATCCAAAAGGTGCTGTGTGCACAAATTTTTATTCAATGGTACGCGCGTAATCTCAGTCCGGTAGCGAATATTTATATCAAATGTTATATTTGAATGCATAGGCAAGTCGCTGCCTAATGATGCTTGCTCAAGTGGCAGTGTAATCTTTTTGCAATGGGTGAGACAGACTGGCATAACACGACGTGGATTCGGAACATTCACCTCGATTACCCGTTTTTGGATAGGACACATCGAAACCCAGAAAATCGAGTTTTTGGTGCTGCGAGAACCCTAGCTATTGATGCAACGACGGTGTAGGGGTATATACATAGTCACAAAACACGCCAAGTACGTAAATTGTAGATGCCGAGGAACGTTGAGCACATTCTTTTCATAGTTTCAAGAGAAAAAGTCCTCTTGGCGCACAATAAAACAACGTGGAAATCCTATATTTTTCGCACATCAGCAGTTTACAGAAGAACTTGTCAGTGTTATAGGGCCAATTCTTGAACTCATTTGGTTTGGATCGATGATTATAATCGGAGATATATGGATCGTTTCTCATGCTGTTTAGGAGATCTATACATTAGAATCCCTAGAAACCACGCAATTATATCAGAGAGAATTTACTTCATCAGATCATTTCGACCACATTTGGTTAGAGCAGCAAACTCAAAGATCTAGCAGCATACATATACCACTCGGCCAACGTAAACTTCATCCGTTGAGATCAGATAAATATTTTTTGTTCCACTTTTATAATTGATCACATCATGGCATAGAATCCCAAATTTCAAATTAAATTGGGTTCGATTACTTAATTATCAATACTTTTATTGTCAAATAATCCTTAAATAGCTCACGTATTTAAATACTTATGCTCGTCACACGATCTCATTACCTCACATTCTCCTACGATTTTTTATCTAATTTGTCATTAAATCACAATTGATTTGAATTGAGATTATTGTTATCGAATAATGCTTAGAATTGGTTTCAATAATATCCATTTGCGTTGGTTCTGGAGTAATATCAATGCATGTTCTAGATTTCTTCCAAATCATCAAATCAGTCATGTGATGAAATGTCACACCTAGACATCAATGCTTCTAAGGACGCTTCTGTCCATAAATGTGTGGGCCAAAGCAAGGAATAAAGCCAGTTTTTATACTGCACGCTTATCGGCACCGGAGACGCGCCCGCACTATGAGAAGGATAACTTCCTGAACCTCCGACGTCAAGTGTACATAAATACACGAGCTAGAGTATGGGCATTTTGATGAGCTTCTTATGTGGATACCGGCATCACTTAGCCATTTACTGCACAAGTCATGATCTTGGCTCGTACGATAAAAATGATAAAGAATTGAAATAGAATGTGTACTCGTAGTAATGTTACAAATAATGTTGCAAATTATTTTAGAATGCGTGAAATTATGCATAAATGACATCTAATTTGAGAAATTTGGCAGTCAAGGCAAGTCAAGAATTGACGGTCGCTGAATTGCTGGTGAAAGCTCCAATAAGCCACTGTTGTTGGGTCGCTGGAAGAAAGTTCGGTGTAGTTTTGTTGAAACGCGATGTTCACTAAGAGCTTGAAAAACATTTACTTGAATGTTTTTTCTTTCTTTAACCATATATATTTGCATACATGTGTATTTGAAAATAAAAATTTTCCTCATGATTGTCGAGCTTAAATCTCAAGATGGGTACAATGGCTCCAAGTGAGCTAGAGGTTCAACTGTCAGGATAGATCGAGAAAAAAAATGTGGGTCGATAGTTCCTCCTATTCCACAGTTGATCATGATCAGCGAGACATATCAGTGAACTTAAATGTAACTCCTTGATGCCAAAAAGGGTCAAATCTGATGCGAAATTCTTATCCGAGTGTCAGCCTCCCTTGGACCCAACAGAGTTTTTCTTCACTTAGTGAGCAGTTCGCCGGCGAGGAACAACGCAGTTTATAAACTCACGAATAATCCATTAAAACCAACGAGGCTGTTTCAAACGACGATAATTAGCAGCATCAGCCACTGTGCACGGCTTACAAAGCTCTTGCCGCCGTCGCTCAGCTTGGGAAAACTCACAAAGCGCGACCAATTACAGGCGACGTAGAACCGGGTCCAACGTGCTAATTTAGCGGATCGCATCGCATTAGACATATTCTGCCTGAACCAACTGCCGTGAGTCCTATGGCATCTATTGCGCATTTAGTTACTCTAATGAACCAGCCTTCCTATAAATTCCATTTGCGGAATGGAAATGGTTCCGACAAGACGTCACGTAAAATGCCGAGTGTAATAAGACGTGAGATTACAGATGCTACTAGCTGACTTCACCGTGGCCTGAATTAGTCGCTCTAATGGCATAAAAGATGCCTCTATAGTCACTTAGGACATTTTATGGAAGGATACGCATACCAAGATGCTGAGGAAACATCCATTATCTTTTACGGCAAGTAGATTGTTATAGTCTGAAGACTGGAGAATTCTAAACATTAACAACAAGGTTGCAGCTTTCTTTTCAACGAAAAAATGGAGCTATGGTATTTAACCAAACGATGCCGACATATCAATGAGAATTTGTTTTATATGGCCCGTTGAATTTATCAAGTGCGTAATTAGTAACGACTTATTAGATATCGGATTACATTATTAATATCGT